GGATCAAAAATAGCACAGACAAAAAAAAAGGCTGGCTTATCCTACTGCCCTGCTAGCAACTGTGTTTATACCTGGAGTCTCTCCAGGAGCACCTGGGGACAGATTTCCAGCTACTGCTTCCACAATGATTTCCATGTTCCCTGTGTCCTCTTCAGTGGCTGTGGTTTCTACCAACAGGCAGCCTGGGTCAGGAGGCAAAGGTGGAGGGTTCCCAGAAGGACAGGGGCTCTGGACAGGCTCTAGGATTCCATGGTTAGAGAGAGGTGGGGGGATCAGCAATAGCTCAGGGCACAGTCCATCCATCTCCCCAGTGCTGTTGGCTGGCTGTGAGTCCAACACGGTGTCTGTCATCACCACCAGTTTCTGTGCTGTGGCTTCTTATATGCTGATAAACCAACCAGAAGAAAAATCAAACAACATATAATTAGATCTCTCACTTTCTTCCCAGTTGGTGTGGGTGCACAGCCCAGTGCCTGCCCCAATTAGGCATCTCCTTGCATGGCAGCATGCCATACTTAGTTAACACAGACATTTTCTTTTTAAGACAATGTTTACCTGGAGAAGGAAATGGCAACCCACTCCAGTATTCTTGCCTGGGAAATCTCATGGACAGAGGAGCTTGGGGGGCTACAGTCCAGGGCATCACAAAGAGTTGGACACAACTTAGCAACTGAACAACAACAGCAACACACAATCAGGTAGATTGTGATTTGGGGAAATATCTCTTGATAGAAATGTGGCATAAAATGGAAAGTGAAGTGACCTAGCAATATGGAATACAGAGCTTTGTAAGAAATTAAAATTTGTGTATAGAATAACAGTTGCAAATATTCAAACAATAAAGTTCATGGCTAAAGGAGAAAAAAAGAGACAATGTTTAGAACAAAAAGCATAAAAATGATAATAGGGGTGAATATAGGAAAGAGACAAGAAGTTGTGACCCATATAATAAAGACTGTTTCTTGAAGCTAAGTGAAGTTTGTCATATCAGTAAGCAATCTGGATCTCAGTTCTCTTATCTGCAACAAAATTGGGTGGGGCCAAGCTATCAGGGCTTCCCTGATAGCTCAGCTGGTAAAGACTCCACCTGCAATGCAGGACACCCAGTTCAATTCTTGGGTTGGGAAGATTCGCCAGAGAAGGGACAGGCTATCCACTCCAGTATTCTTGGGCTTCCCTTGTGGCTCAGCTGGTAAAGAATCCGCCTGCCATGTGGGAGACCTGGGTTTGATCCCTGGGTTGGATTGATCTCCCGGAGAAGGGAAAGGCTACCCACCACTCCAGTATTCTGGCCTGGAGAATTCCATGGACTGTATAGTCTGTGGGGTTGCAAAGAGTCGGACACAACTGAGCGACTTTCACTTTCAAGGGATCTCAGCGGTCCCTTCCCCTCTTAACATATTAGGATCTCACTATTTCTTAGCTCAAAGCCCTTCCTTCATGATCTGGCCCTGCTGCCCTCTCTAGATTCATCTCCCACCTCTCTGCAGAAGATCTCTGAGCCAGTGATTCAACTTTTCATTGATTTGCCCTTTCCCAGACTCACCACATTCTCTTCTGCTTCTATATACTATACATCTCTCAGCTTGATGGGCCTTCTCCCCTTTGCCAGCTCTCTTGTCTGGCTCACCAGCTCCTAACTATCCTTTAAGAATCTGTACAAGGACTTCCTTAGTAGTCCAGTAGCTAAGACTTGTGCTCCCAATGCAGGGGGCCCTGGTAAGGGAACTAGATCCCACATACCACAACTAGGAGTTTGCATGCCACACAAGTAAGATCAAAGATAACTCAGACTTGGAGCAGCCAAATAAATCAATGTCACTTTACTATGATGGCGTCCTGACACAGTTCATTGAAGTTTCTCTCTCTTGGGTCCTCAGGGCACCTCGTACACAGCTCTATCAGAAACACGTCACAAAAAAAAAAAAAAGAAATACGTCACACTGCACTATTTATTTGTCAGTCTCCCTCCCTAGACTTGGAGCTTTCTGAGTGGATTTTACTGAAGTTATCACTTCACTGAACATAAACCACAACGGCCTATGCAAATCAGACAAGGGATTCTAATGAAGAACTGTGACACAGTGGTAAAGAATCTGCCTGCCAATGCAGGAGACACAAGACTCACAGGTTTGATCCCTGCGTTGGGAAGATCCCCTGGAGCAGGAAATGGCAACCCATTCCAGTATGTTTGCCTGGGGAATTCCAAGGACAGAGGAGCCTGACGGGCCACAATCCATGTGGTCACAAAGAGTTGGACACGACTGAGCACACACTCACACACAGTTAAGAACTGCAGACACAGAAATGCAAGGCTAGGCTTCTACTAAGATAACAAACCAGAGGTGCCTTATGTATAAAGTAACACACCTGGAGAAATTTATCATTCATTGACTATGACCTAATATTGAACACTGGAACTCAACTCAGAAGTGAATGTCAACTAAATTGTATATCCTGTTATACATTGCTAAAATTAGTTTGCTCTGAGTATTAGGAATTAAGGATGATAGTATAAGCACTTCATGAAACTAAGCCATGAAGGTCAGGTAAGGGGCGCCTAGGGCTAGAAAATAATTTTGTAGGTGAGAGTTCTACAACTGAAAGCCTCAGATTAGGGAAATTCAGAAGGTGGTAGGACAGCGCACTTCCGCCCTCAGAAGGTTCTCTGGAAACCACAGACTCCACTTATCGCGGCTCTAAGGAATCTTCCAGCTCCGGTAATAATTGCCTTAACGGGGAGCCAAGGAGGAGGGGGTGTCGTCTAGACCGAGAACCTTCAGACGCTGGAAGGTGGAGTGAGGTGGGACACGGGTGGGCACAAGAGAATAAATGAGGTTATTTTCGGGGCAGCGGTACCGAGGGAGAAAGGACACATTCAGGCAAAGGGAAGGCCTGGGGAAAGGGTGAGATCGGGTCTGGGGACCAAGGCACCCGTGGGCTCTACTCACCGCGTGGCCTTGGACAGAATGTAGTCCCCTCGCTTCCCGGGACGTCAGCTTTCCTGTTTGTAAAGTGGAGGCAATGACAGCGTCCACATCTTTGGGCGGGAGCGGGAATCACAATTACCGGCAAACGGGAAAATCGTTTTGTAACCTGCAAGGCTAAGGAGGGAGCATCGTCATGCTTACTGTCGAGAGGCAGGGGGTAACCGGGTGGGGTCCACAGCAATGACGCCGGGGGTGCTGATATGATGCGCCGGGGCCTCGCTCGTCGCTGTGCTCCCTTCCGCACTTCTCCCGAGCGTTCCCATCGCCCAGGCCTACCCCTCATCCTGCGGTTTGAGAAACTTTTGCCTCCGGCCTGCTCCGCCCGCACTCCCTGTTAGTTCCCGCCCCGCAGCCTCCGGCTTACCTCCGGCCCTAGGCGGGCAGGAGCCTCATCTCTATGGTCGTCCAGCGGCTGGAGTGGCCTCCTGGGACTCTCTTTGTGCGACCGCCTCCGGCCCAGAAACCTCTAAGACCGCGGCATATGGAGGCCGCTCTCTCTTCCTTTGTGAGGCTGGTGGAGTACTCTCTCTATGGTTCTTCCTATCGTTTCCCTCCCGCCCCCGTCCTCACCGCCCGTGGCCTTGAAGCCCAAAGAATACCATCGAGAGTTGTGGAGCAGAGTGGTGTGGCCGTCTCGGTGGGAGTGACGGGAAGTAGATGAAAGAACTCGGGGGCGAAGCCCAGTGGAGAGTCCCCAAAGAGCCGAGGGGTGAAACCATCGAGAGGAAGGGCCAGAGAGTCATGGCGGTAAGGGGGAGGAGTGAGCGATTGCTGCAAACCACGCTGCTGGACGCGCGAGCTGGGGTGTGGAGCGGGTTCGGCAGGAGGCTTCTGGGCGTCCGACAAGGACCGGGAGCGGAAAGGGCTTTGTCTGTGACCTCCCACGCATAGGAATTTTGGAATTCTGGATCCTGTTCTGAGCTTCAGCAGAGGTCACTGCTGTCAATTCACCGCACTGCGTGCCGGCATAAAGCAAACCGGCGGGGGGGTCGAGTGAAGTGTGCTAGAAACGATTTGACCTCCTACCCCTTCGGGATCTTACAGCCTAGAATCAGGCCCAATCATATTTTATTGCGGGGCGGGGGGTGGAATTCGGGTATATCTCCGTGGAGAAGGTAGCAGATGGGCGAGATTTGAACTCTATAAGATCGGGGAAATAAAATGGCCATTCCGAGTCAAGGAGGAAGGAGGCTTGTATATTTGTTCAACAGAGAATATTGGGAACTAAGCCATTAAAGCTACGTGGGCCCCTTGTTGTGTAGGCAGAGGAGTTTTCACCTAATTCAGAGACCTGTTGAGAGCCAGTCATTGGAGGTGTTGGAGGAGGGAAAACTAATGGCATTGAAGCGGAGCCTTATGAAGAAAAATCGACCCCTGTGTAGCAGTTTGGTGAATGAAGCATGACCAAAGTGGAGATCCACTAAGATGCCACTTCAAGAATTAAAATTAATTTTGAAGACAGTTTAGGTGGGAGGTAATTGCAGGGCTAACAGGGTATTAGCATGTAAAGTAGATGAGAGGATACCTGGAGGACATGATCCGGGATAGCAAGGCATGAGGATATTGACAGGTTCACAGAAGAGAGTAACTTCTTCATCCCCTGCTCATTCTGGCCAGTGGGCCCCTTTCTATCTCAGCTGGTCCCAGGGACCACAAGAATGCTGTCCATCTATTATCCTGAAGTCAGTTATATCATTCAGTCAAATTTAAGGAATCTCCAGAATAGTCGCCTGGCAGGACACAGGTATGAAACAGGATAATGAAAGGCAAAATGGGACAAATGACTCAGAGTCTCATCCCTTGGGTCCAGCACCAGCCCCACCCCACGAAGGGAGGATATTGAAGCACATTCTAATACTGACCTGTCATTCCTCTCCCAGCTTCTGTGGGGTGGGAAAGGAATTTGTCCTTTTTTTAAACTAATCTTGTGCTTTATCCCATCTCTACTGCTCCCCATCTCCAGGTCTTGAAAATGCCTCGGGGCCCGTGAGGTTGTGTTTTCCTTTCAAGATGCCCCTCTCAGACTTTGTTCTGGCCCTGAAGGACAATCCCTACTTTGGGGCTGGATTTGGGCTGGTGGGTTTGGGCACTGCCCTGGCCCTGGCCCGGAAGGGTGCCCAACTGGGCTTGATGGCATTCCGGCGCCATTACATGATCACACTGGAAGTCCCTGCTCGAGACCGGAGCTATGCCTGGTTGCTTAGCTGGCTTACCCGCCACAGTACCCGAACTCAGCACCTCAGCGTCGAGACGTCGTACCTTCAGCACGAGAGTGGCCGCATCTCCACTAAGTTTGAATTTGTCCCCAGCCCTGGAAACCACTTTATCTGGTAAGGCTGGAAGCCAGAGAGGGCTCTGAGAGTGGAAAAGGAGAATGAGAGGAGGTGGACTTGGCCTGCTTGTTCACCTCATTTTGCTCGTTCTTATTCAGGTATCAGGGGAAATGGATCCGGGTGGAACGGAGCCGAGAGATGCAGATGATAGACCTGCAAACGGGGACTCCTTGGGAATCTGTCACCTTCACAGCTCTGGGCACTGACCGAAAAGTTTTCTTCAACATCCTAGAGGAAGGTGTGGGATGGCATAGACAGCCTTTTGGGGGGTAGGGAGTGGCAGTTGCAGGGATGGAGTATTTGACATCAAAGGAAGAGAAGCTTGGAGAGGCCAAATAGGAGCATCTGGGCCCATGGGAGCAGGGCCAGGGGGCCATTTGGGAACAGTTCTGCCTAGTAGTATGGCAAAGGGTAATTATGGGTTTTGTCTCATCTTCCCCCTCCCAGCTCGAGAACTAGCTCTGCAGCAGGAGGAAGGGAAGACAGTGATGTACACTGCTGTGGGCTCTGAATGGCGCCCCTTTGGCTATCCACGCCGGCGGCGGCCTCTGAATTCTGTGGTTCTTGAACAGGGTCTGACTGACCGAATTGTCAGAGACATCCGGGAATTCATTGATAACCCCAAGTGGTACACTGACAGAGGTGAGAAGCAGCTGAGGTCTTGGTGGCCAGATGGGGCACATACAAAGCTCTATCCTCATCCCCATAGATGAAGGGGAAATAAAGGTTGCCTAAAAGGAATGATTTCTTCCAATGCCAAGGCCATCAGGCCTCCAGGGAGCAGGGCTGGGGATGAGTGTGGACATCTAGGGCAGAGTACATGATTCATTTGTCTTGATGATCATCCTGGGTTATTCCTAGGCATTCCCTACAGACGTGGCTACCTACTCTATGGGCCCCCTGGTTGTGGAAAGAGCAGTTTTATGTGAGTAGAGTCAAACTTCTCTTAACCCTCAAGCTGGAGAGAAATTGGGCTGGTGGGGCTGGAAAGGGAAACAAACGTGGGGAACAGGAAAACATGAGACACATGGAACAATAGTGTGAGGTGGTGGAAGGGTTAGGCCTCAGATTCAAAGCTAGTACTGGGAGGAACAAGCAGTTAGACCCAAGGACCAGTTCCCAGCTTGCCAATTACCTATCACCCCTCCTCCATAGCACAGCCCTGGCTGGGGAACTGCAGCATAGCATCTGCCTGCTGAGTCTCACAGACTCCAGCCTCTCAGATGACCGGCTCAACCACCTGCTGAGTGTGGCCCCACAGCAGAGCCTGGTGCTCTTGGAGGACGTGGACGCTGCCTTTCTCAGTCGAGACCTGGCCGCCGAGAGTGAGTGAGGGGGATGTTCACGGCACAGGTGGGGAGAGGGGGTTTTTCTAAATGAGGAACAGTGGAGGAAAGGAGAAATCCAGAGAGCAGGTGGGGACACCTGGGTTAGCAATCAGAGTCCACTGGAGACAGGGATAAGGAGGGGGGCACGGTAGGCAGGGAGCAGAGAGGGATGCTAATTTGAAGCAGGGCTGTGCTCACTCATGCTTCCTCTCTGCCTTCCTCCAGACCCAATAAAGTACCAAGGTCTAGGCCGGCTCACCTTCAGTGGGCTGCTCAACGCCCTGGACGGTGTGGCTTCCACCGAAGCACGCATAGTATTCATGACCACCAACCATGTCGACAGGTAAGGAATGAGGTACTCAGACCTGGAGGCAAGACTCCACCCCCCTCAGCGTCTCTGGAGGATCAGGAGTTTTGGATGAACCATTTTGGGGGGTGCCAGTGGCGCTGCAGCTCACGACTGCTTTCGCTGCCTTCTCCTTTTAGGCTTGACCCTGCCCTGATACGCCCCGGGCGAGTAGACATGAAGGAGTACGTGGGCCACTGCTCACGCTGGCAACTGACCCAGATGTTCCAGAGGTTCTACCCCGGGCAAGCAACTTCCCTGGCTGAGACCTTTGCAGACCGTGTCCTTCAAGCTACAATGCAGATCAGTCCTGCCCAGGTGCAGGGCCACTTCATGCTGTATAAAAATGACCCTGTAGGGGCCATTCAGAATGCAGAATCTCTGAGAAGCTGACAACCGGGCTGTGCCCAGCTTTCTTCTCCTCCAGGAGATCAATAAACACCTGCCAAGCTACTCTAGTGTCTGACTTCCCTCCTACCTCCCCGTGTTGGCACCTGAGTAAAATCCTGGGGCTGTAAACATAGATACCTCCAGGGACCCTCAGGTATCCACGTATACAAATACTAGGGACACAGCCTCCCTAAGACAAAATGGGAAAAAGAGACTGTAGTAAACAGGAAAGTACTATCCTCCACCTAAAGGTATTCAAATACATATAGACAGAGATGCGGCCCCATACACAGTGGCTTATGTAGCAGGGTGGGGCCTGCATAGTCTGCTTAAATGTTGGCCTCTTCTAGTTTTCCTTGGAACCTACTATTCTAGCTGAGATGTCACTCTTCCTTTACCTAGACCTCGATCTCTTAGGAGAAGAGACTTCAGAACAAAACTGGGGCTACTCTGGCATGCTCATCTTCCTAGAAATTTAGAAAGAGCCACACTTCACGGGTTAGGCACTGCTGAGTAAGGAAAGCCAAACAAGGCCAATCTCTTTATTACCCACTCCCGACCCAATTCCCTGTCCCCCCACAGTACTGCTAGGAACCATCCTCTGACTCGAGGCTCACAGGTTCTCTTCGAGTACCAGGCCGGTAGGCTCCCCGACCCCGAGGCAGGCGGGGGTAGGAAGAGGCCGGTATCCGACTCTTAGCGCATTCCCAGTGGGCACAGTCCCGAGTCCTGCGCGGTGGGGGACCCTGCCATTCGCCAGGCCCTTTATCTTGGGGAGGACCTTCACCCCCTTGGTTACGAGACTCTGACTTTAGGTCCATGGACTCCTTGAGGGGCCCCTCAGGAGACTGCAGTTCCTGGGTGTCACTGGTACCTTTGAGGATATTGCACTCCCCTCCTTTCAGGTGCCTCCGTTCAGGCTGTCTCCTTGAGCCTCGACTGGACCGGCGGGGATCGAGCACGGCTTTCTGGGTCTCGCCCAGCTTTACAGCCCCTGGGGTCTTCTCACATGTGTACTGGGAGGCCACAGGCAGAGGCGCTGACAGGGCAGTGTGAGTAGCTGATGTGGTGGATGGTTCGGTGGCAAGGGTGCTGGGCTGGTGGGATCCTCCGGAGACATCTATAGCTGACTCGGGTTCCAAAGGGGCAGGAGGCTAGGAGGAAGTGAGCAGAGGCAGTGACAGAGATTCCTTAGAGACAGAGTTCCTTAGATCAGGGAACTGCAGGACCCTTGCCCAGAGTCCAAGCTGACCGCCATCAACCTAGACCTCCCAGGGTAGAGCAAAGATCACACCCAGGCCATGGCAGGAGGGTGCTGGTTAGGAAGGTAGCTGTCATCAAGGGAGGAGAGGGAAACCCTTCTCTCACCTGCTGAAGGCTGATAAAGTACCGGTTACGTTCAGCCTCAAGATCAATGATGCCCCCCCTCTCCTGCTGTCTCTGGTACAGCCTCTTGCGCTCTTCTTGCTGGCGCAAGCTCTCTGCATCAGGCTGGTACAGCTCCTGGAGGGAAAGGAGCAGAGTGGAACGGAGGGAAGAATAAACAGAAGGCAGACCTGAAATCCCTGCTCTTCCAGACTGCCTCAGGAGATGGGCTCAAGGTTCTTGGTTTTATCCCTTGGATTAGGCTCATTAGAGGGCTTCCTTCATAGCTCAGTTGGTAAAGAATCAGCCTGCAATGCAGGAGACCCTGGTTTGATTCCTGGGTCAGGAAGATCCGCTGGAGAAGAGATAGGCTACCCATTCCAGTATTCTGGCCTGGAGAATTCCATGGATTGTATAGTCCATGGGGTCACAAAGAGTTGGATATGACTGAGAAGTTGTGTTGGAGAAGACTTGGAGAAGTGCAGCCATGAAATTAAAAGACGCTTACTCCTTGGAAGAAAAGTTATGACCAACCTAGACAGCATATTAAAAAGCAGAGACATTACTTTGCCAACAAAGGTCCATCTAGTCAAGGCAATGGTTTTTCCAGTAGTCATGTATGGATGTGAGACTGGACTATAAAGAAAGCTCAGCGCTAAAGAACTGATGCTTTTGAACTGTGGTGTTGGAGAAGACTCTTGAGAGTCCCTTGGACTGCAAGATCAAACCAGTCCATCCTAAAGGAGCTCAGTCCTGAGTGTTCATTGGAAAGACTGATGCTAAAGCTGAAACTCCAATACTTTGGCCACGTGATGAGAACAGCTGACTCATCTGAAAAGACCCTGATGCTGGGAAAGATTGAAGGCGGGAGGAGAAGGGGACGACAGAGGATGAGATGGTTGGATGGCATCACCAACTCAATGGACATGAGTTTGGGTGAACTCCGGGAGTTGGTGATGCATAGGGAGGCCTGGCGTGCTGCGGTTCATGGGGTCACAAAGAGTCAGACGTGACTGAGCAACTGAACTGAACTGATTGGAACAAACTTTAGATTTCTGCTGGGGGCCACGCTTTACAGAGGGGGCTCAGGCAGCTTAAGCCCAATTCCAGAAGTCCCATTCGAAGCAGACAAGATGCCACTGATCTTGATTTAGATTAGAAGAGAGTTCTCTTACCATGGGCTGCTGGGGTTCAGGGGCTGCTTTCAGGGAGGCAAGATCATACACAAGGGGCTCTCTGCACACCGGGCACTGCACACCAACGGCCTTCTGTAAAGAGAGGCAAAATCACACCCCTGCTTCCCAGCCCAGGGCACTCGCCAGCTGGCCAGCCTCAACTGCGGAGGCTTGGGACAAAGGCGCATGGGCCTACCCACCCAGTAGTGAGCGGGGACAGAGCAGGGGCTGCCGAGCTAGAGGTCTGGGAACCTTCTGAAACCACATACAGTATGATTACGGAGATATAAGGATGCCCTTTTTCCTGGACAGAGGTGAACTTTCATTCATCTCAAAGGTACCTATGACCCTGAAAAAGCTAAGAAGGCCCTGGAATGGAGGGATAGAAAGGCCATGAGTCATGCAAATGGGTGAGGAGTTGACCTGTTCGGGTGCAGCGTGCTGCCGTTCCTGCTCTCGCTCCCGTCCCTGGGCCTGCAGCTCATGCTCCATGTGCTGGATGTACCGGGCCAGGCAGTGGCAGTGGAAATAGTGGTAACAGGGTGTTTTGGTAAAGGCCTCCTTCTCCTGGAGGGAGGGGGGAGGTGGGACACTGTCAGCACTCTCCCCCGAGCTCCTGTGTCTGTCACCTGCAGACCCCCAGGTCCCAAGAGAGTAACCCACCTGGAAACCATAGAGGCAGATGACGCACTGGCCATGGGGGATGTTGTTATCCGTGAGAATTTCCTTCCCTTTCTGAGAGGAGAGAAAAAGTTGTTCAAATAGGGAGGCAGGGGCCAGAATGGTGAACAAAGCTTGTCAGTTATTCCCAGGAGTGACTGGCGGGGCTGTCTCCCACGGGGCCAGTTTGCCTGTGTTAATACATTTCAGTCCTGGTGATTATCTCTGCTTAGAATCAATCCTTCCCTATGCCCCACCCCTCCCCCGCAAATCTACCTGGCTCCAAAACCCAATTTAATTGTTTTTCCACTCATTAAGCCACTTGAAATACATCCTAGGGATGAAAATAAAAACAACTTACAAAACAAAGTGTTCAGGTAAAACTCACATCTCCTGGGAGGCCTTTCTTTAAGTATCTCTCCCTCAATGAGCCTCTTGTGGAGTCAGCTTTCAGAAAGAAAGGGAAGGCATGGACACCCCAGACAGACAGAGAACTGGAAAGGCAGCAAGCTATGAAATACACATGTGCGCTATCACTTGGATAGCGACGACTCTGGAATTCCACAAAGTTCAAAGCTGCATCTGGAGGCTGATTCAGAAATGCTACAGTGCTCCATGCCCATTCTGACTCCAGGCCACCCACCTGCATTCTTTTATGAACATTTTCCTTAAAAACTGAAAGCAGAGGAAAACAAGGCTGCATTTGTGTTTCTGATCTCAAACAAAAGTTAGCTGTGTATATTAACTTGTAGCTCTAGGCATAATTTCATGCGGGTTGTTTCCTTCATTAGGGTAGAAACTCTGAGGAAAAGAACCATGACTCTTTCTAGTCAGCTCCACTGGCAGACTACCAGAGATCTCTTCAAGAAAAGTATAGAGATACCAAGGGAACATTTCATGGAAAGATGGGCACAATAAAGAACAGAAATGGTATAGACCTAACAGAAGAAGATATTCAGAAGAGGTGGCAAGAATACACAGAACTATACAAAAAAGATCTTTATGACCCAGATAATCACGATCGTGTGATCACTCACCTAGAGCCAGACATCTTGGAATATGAAGTCAAGTGGACCTTAGGAAGCATCAGTACGAACAAAGCTAGTGGAGGTGTCGGAATCCCAGTTGAGCTATTTTAAATCCTAAAAGATGATGCTGTCAAAGTGCTGCACTCAATGTGCCTGAAAATTTGCAAAACTCAGCAGTGGCCACAGGACTAAAAGGTCAGTTTTCATTCCAATCCCTAAGAAAGGCAATGCCGAAGAACGCTTAAACTACCACACAATTGCACTCATCTCACATGCTAGTTAAGTAATGTTCAAAATTCTCGAAGCCAGGCTTCAACAGTACGTGAACCGTGAATTTCCAGATGTTCAAGCTGGTTTTAGAAAAGGCAGAGGAACCAAAGACAGAGGAGATCAAATTGCCAACATCTGTTGGATCATTGAAAAAGCAAGAGTTCAGAAAAACACCTTCTGCTTTATTGACTATGCCAAAGCCTCTGACTGTGTGGATCACAACAAACTGTGAAAAATTCTTAAAGAGATGGGAATACCAGACCACCTACCTCCTGAGAAATCTGTATGCAGGTCAGGAAGCAACAGTTAGAACTGGACATGGAACAACAGACTGGTTCCAAATTGGGAAAGGAGTACGTCAAGGCTGTGTACTGTCACCCTGCTTATTTAACTTTATGCAGAGTACATCATGAGAAATGCTGGGCTGGATGAAGCACAAGCTGGAATCAAGATTGCTGGGACAAGTATCAATAATCTCAGATATGCAGAAGACACCACCCTTATG